GGGTGGGAAGGGGCAGAGGAGGCGGGTTGTCGGTTGCGCATGGGGGAGGGGTGTATGGGTTCAGTGGCTTAGTACTACCTACCATCTTCATCAGTCTTGATCACAATGGGCGGGGAGCGTGGCCCGTCCCCCATTTTGGTGAAGGCTAGAATGGACACCCTATAGTTAGTCCAGGTTTTCAGCCCGTCCACGCGGACAGTGAGCTCGTCACCAGGTACAGATTTCTGCATCTCCTCAAAGTCGCTGCGGCCGCTCTCCACCACAAAAATCCGATAGCCCTCCAGCTTGCCGTTTTGCTTTTTGGGGTCTGGCGGCTTCCAGGAGACCAGGATCTCCCGCTCGCTCACAGCCGTGCCGCTCACCTCCTCGGGCGGGGCTTCTGGCTCTATTATGTGGGCGGAGCCAGGCGGAAGGGGGCGTGGTCATGATGGAGTGGGTAGTGTTGGAGGAGGAGGGGGAGTAGGAGGAGGAGCCGGGGGCGTTGTCAAGCAATGTCACAAGTGATGTTGATGGACGTTTTGTAAGGTGGGAGCCATCACAAAGTGACATGAGGGATTTAAGGTTTCAGTCGATGTGTGGATGGATCACGGAGACATCGAGGAGGGGCGGGGTGGGTCGAATGAGAACATAATAATGGTGATAAAACCAAATAAATAAGGAAGTCAAACAGTATAGAGGCGGTTGGAGTAGATCGAGGATGAAAGATAATAAGTAAAAAGAGGGCATGAAAAATAAAGACCCGAGGTCATCAAATAAAGAGAGAGAAACAAATCATCAACGAACACAAGGAAACAAAACAAAACATAAGTCGAACAGACAAGGTAAGTGGTGGGGTTGTTGTGGGCAAATGCTCGTGTCAACGCTGCAGTGTGTGGACATCTGTTTGATCTGTTTGACTATTCTACAAGCAGTCGGGTTAGATTGGCTGCACAGCACTCCGCGGCGGTCACTGAGGTAGCAGCAACAGCAACAGTTTTCAGAGTTGTTAAAACAGTAAGTAGAAAAAACTACTTAAGTAACGACAACAACAACAATAACAATAAAAATAACAACAACAATAATAATAATAATAAAAATAATAACAATAATAATAATAACAATATAACAATAACACCGGTAATAATAATCACCGTAAAAACATACAATAACAGCAATAACAATAATAATAATGATGATTGATGAAGATTATAAACCAACAACAATAATAAAAACAACAATAACAATAAAAACGACATAAATATGAAAAGGAGAGCGCCAAAAGAAGAGGAAGATTAAAGTGATACGGACAAGAAACGAGGGAAGATCCTCGATACGAAAAATGTTGCTGCTCCTTTGGTTACTTATCTCTAGCATGCACAGCCAAAGGTCTGCTGGTAGCTTGGTGTCAGTCACACACAGTTAGGCTCACTAAACATGTTAACTGCTGTTAGGTTTCCACAATTTTCTCATTTACACATGCTAGGTAAAAGCCGGACTGCCAATTCACTGCAAAAGGGAAGTGTCCCCTTTGATCAGCTGTACGCACTAGCGGTTACTGTTGTAAAGCAAGCTTGGCGTCATCTTTCTCATTAATATACATTCTACCATGAAATAAACATACACTCTCAGTTCTGGTGTATGACGTTAGTCAATGCTACACATATAATTACTCGTGCTATGCGTTACACTACGGCCCAATCAAAAAATGAAAACAAACCAACCATGCATTAACAGGCAAAAAATGTCGTATTTCTGACACAAAGTTTGTATTCTGGAATTCTTATTCCGAGTTGAGAACACAATAAACTGTAAAACCTAGTTCGACAACTTTTTCCAGAGCACCTACTTCTAGACTTATCAATCGGCATATTTTGGGTGTGAGTTATAACACAGAAGCCCTTTCATATGTGCCTTGATTAATGTCAGACCCGTCCAAAATATAGTCCCCCAGAAAGCCCAAACTGAGCTAGGCTAATGAAAACTAAGAGAGACAAATAAAAATCACACCACCAACACAAGATGGGGGTATCACTGAAGCCAAGTAGAAGGGATCACTCACACACAAGGTGTTATACCACAAACAGTGAATGTGAGGTTATAGTGGAGATGATGGATGAAGACGAAATGAGCCTCGAGATCATGGATGGTAAATTGTATTAATAAGTTAGATGAAAATGAAGACACACTTGGAAAAAAATGTTGTTTTCTTGGAGATCTAAACCGATTCGAGCAAGTGAAAAATAATTCCGTGCGTTCACAAGATACCGCAGCTTTGTCCAGAAAAACTTCGGGAATTGTATCATCTGTACATAAACCTGAGAAATGTCGAGATCTAGAAAGAGTATCTCCTTGACATTATAAAAAGTATTTCACTTCAAATAGAAAAAAAGTGTCATATTTACTTTAGTGCTTTAATAATTTCACGAAATTTGTTTTATAATAACAGCATATTAGGACTTGTAATCTTGAAATGTCTGCAAGTTTTTCTTTTGATTATGATAAAACAGATCTGGAGAGACGACTGGACTCACAAGAGTTGTTAATACTATAGATGAGAGATCTACACTACGATGTAAATAGAAATAGTGCTGGAATGAATTTTTAAATGCCCTGTATACGATAACTATTATCTTTACAATGGGAGATGTTTGATGGACTGATGATGAGTGCGCATTACAGTGCGAGGAAATCACAATACGATAGCCACAGGGTGACGATTATGTCAGAATGTCTACTGAATCTATACAGATAACTCAGCCGATGTGTGCATATATGTGTGTCTGCGTGAGCGTGTGTGTCAAGACTGACAGGCGCGTGGGTGTGGTTTGGTGGGTCGATGGGTGGGAATATAGAACAGCACAATACGCACGGGTGAATGACAGGTAGAAACAGAGGTGTACGTAAAACAGCTAAGGACACATAAAGAAAACTCAGAGATGATGGAAGAAACCAATAGAGACATCACATAAGGGAATAACTTCAGCAACAGCATGAATAGTTCACGACATTATGCTGGCTACAGATCTAGAGAAGAAAATACACTTAAGACAATTATCTACCTACACGAAGAAAATAAAATCTACACAAGAAAGTATTAAAACTTAAGCGTAGGCCTTTCGTAATGCAGATTCCTAAAATATTACTGTAAAATGTAAGAAAGACCTAAAAATAAACTTGGTCGATATCTTAATATAAATTGGCATAGTAAGAACAATACATTGACAACGAAAGACCGTATTTATATGGTCTAAAACAAGTCCATTCATTTGAAAGGAGCATCGTATGTTTATTAATGTTATACTATCAGGCCTCCAGGGTTGCCATAGACAATTAATATTTTCACTTCCATTATATCTTTATCACTTTCTAAATGTCTCAGAAAGCTTCCCGGTATATGTATAGGAACAGATACTCCACATTTTCAATTCCATTGCTTTTCCATGACTTCTTCATTGCTTAGACATGTCTCTAAGACCCCCCCCCACCCTCTGCACCCTTCCTAACAAACACACCAGTTTCTCCCCCCTACCCCCTCACATATTTTGCACACCGAGCAGTTGCCTGAAAGTTTATCTGAAGAAAAAGAATCTTTTCACTTCCAAAGTTTCAGATAGCGATTCTCAGTTGGTGCATTGACCTTATATTTCACAACCGCATCGTGAAGAGCCCAAAGTTTGCTCCTAAATTTAGAATGAGCAATAATAACCAACAAGGGTCAATTAAAAAGTTACTAAATTATAGAAACAAAATTACACCTTATGATGTGAACAAAAAAGTCAGTTATCTATCGCCAATCTCGTCTATAAAAAATAACAGAACCCAAAACAAACTCAACTGAAAAAAAAATACACAGTGAAACAAACTCTTACTACAGAGTAAAATCACGTCTAGATGGCGCGTTGAGTATTTAAATACAAGGGATTAAAACCCAAGAGGCTTAGAAATCAATCATGCTTGGAATAAAAACATTTCCAAAAGATATATAAAATCAATTTTAAAAAGAAAGATAAGCTTTATCAATTAAAAGAAAGAGTAAAAAATGTCTCACATTCACAGAATTATAAGTTAAATAAAGTTTAGAAAAGAGACAAAGCCTTTGCCTCAAAACAGAAAAAAAAATGTTTGAAGAAACTATAATACTATGGTCGCCTTTTCCTCACAGCGCTATTTTACTTTGGCTGCCACGTCTACTGAATTTCGCCTGGGGAAATCAAAGTGGCACCCCACGCCACACATGTAAATAATACACTTCTTTGAATTCTGAGACGACTCCAAAATGTTCTCCACTTTTTTTTTCGAGACAACGGCGGCCTTTTAGAATTCTAATACTATTTGCTATACCTTTAAATTGAAATCAATATTTTCATGCTTAGAATAAGAATTAAATCTTTCATGCTTTCCAATTTGTTCCCAAGGTCTGTGGCAACCCTGGTCATTATATTAAGTTACTTTTTTCATCACAATCTCTTATAAACATGTATATCGATATTTTTACAATCACAAAATGCCAAGAAATAGAGCAAAACCACTGACAATGATCAACATCAAGACAAGCAAAGGCGGACTCACTGAACGGTGGCGTATGCACTTGGATCATCGGAGTGCGGGGTCCCTCTCCTCTGGCAGATTTTGCTGATACCTGTAAGAAGAAGAATCATGCAGCATAGCTGAAGACATCGGTCAGTCAAAGGTCAAATACCGCAAAAGGAAAAATGGGAACGTGACAAAATAGTGCGCAACACCAGGGCACAGGTAAGAACTATTGTTTAGTGCACCTCCTTTCTTTTTATCTATTTTAAAGTTTAACGTGAACGTCTGACCAAATAAGCACAAGCCAAGGAAGCTAATTTAAAAACAGGGTCAATATCTCCCACGACTTTACTAAGGCGCACACAATAATTAAATATATGTTTGAATGACTTTTGTCTAGAATTCCCAAGAGAACGCACGGGTACCGTTTTAATAAAGTCTGTCATACAAGATCAAACCCCCAGTTATTTTCTAGCACAGTCAAAATCTTGATCATTCATCTTTCTGTAGTATAGAACAAAGCAAAACTCACAAAGACAGAAACTTTAAGAGAACGAATCAGCTTTTGCTTTTAATTAAGAGTTTTACGGCAGTTGTAACACAATAAGTTCAAATAATGAAGTGCCGAAGATTAGAGGTGTTACAAGAGAGTAACAAACAGAAAAATATATAAGAAAAGTATTACTGTTTGATAGGATAGAAGGAGCTGATAGGATAGAAGGAGCATTTTCCCCCGTGAAAATGTAATCTAGTTCTATACACCAAACAGTTGGACTTGCAGAAGACCACATTAGACACAGAGTGCCCTTTTTACCTGACTGAGACATCTGAGAGCTAGCAGCTAGCTCTTCAGCTCTCTTTATTTCAAGTTTACCTGTATGTGATACACAGTGTCTGGCGTGAGGTTGATGAGCTTGTAATTTTGCACGGGCGGGTCGATGCTGACCCGCGCGTTCTGGCGGTAGTGGGAGTCGTTGAAGTAGAGCTCGTAGCTCTTGATGGTCTCCGCCTCCTGAGGGGCGTCCCACTTGACCAGGATGGCGTTGGGACTTTTCGCCTCGGCCACCAGGTTCAGGGGCTGGTAAGGTACTGAGGACGGGCACACACACAGAACAAACGGTCACTATCACTCGTAGATACGGTGGACCCAAACAAAAAGGACACGTCTTGCTTAGTAAATGAGTAGGTTAGGAGACGAGGCATATTATGCGTTTTGTTTGACGGAGGTGCGAACATGATGCAAACGCAGTGTTAAATTGGATGTCAACAGTCGAGAGGTTACACATCGGCATTCACAAACAGCTGGGGATAACCATTTGTTTAGAACTTTCTAAAAAGAAGAGTTCATTCTCAAATATGGGGACTACTTGCTCTAAAGGGTAATACTTCTGGTTACTGATATTATAGAACGGACATATATATTTTACCACTTCAAAAAAGTGGTATGGTTCCCTTATTTTATTTCACAGGTTTGATTTACCGTCAGTTAGCATTCTTAAGCACCTTTCTATTTTCGATGCAGATTTTAGAGGAGAGCTCAAGCTTACAGAGAGTAAACCATGGCGAAGGTAAGAGTGACAGAGCTTCAGGATTAAAATACAATACCAAGGAAAAGTAATCTCGAAAGTTGCTATTTTCAGAGAATTGAGTTGATTGTTTGTAAACAGCCAGTTCAGATTTCAGTTTTAATATTAATGAATCATTCCATATATAGGAGTGAGAACAGTCGAGGGATTATTCAAGACTGGCTTTTGAAAGGACGTCTCGATAGATTTGCTGGGGTGTAAATGAGTATTTCCCTGAAGTTTGGGAACAGGAAGGCAGCCTAAATCACAGCTTAGAAAACAATAGGGCCTGGGGCATAGGTGGGAGACTGGAAATACCCAGCAGCCACAGTTCGCGCTCCGCACAGAACGCTAGCAGCTGCGACAGTTTTAGTGGGTCAAACAGCACGAGACAACGATGCACATGTGAGTGTGAGTAGTGCCTGTGAGTCTGTGATGGAGAAGGGCGAGCCAGGCAGATCACGCATGGCGTATGTAGACACACACAAACGCACGCGCAAACACACACACACACAATCTGTACAGACACACTGTACAGCTGTTCGTAGTGAGTAAGTGGGTGAGTGACTGGGCGAACAAGTGGAGGCTTGAGCTGGAGGCTAGAAGGAATTGAAAAACGCAACGCCCGATGCAGTGGTGGGCACATACGCATGCTTGACGCTAGTCTGAGTGAGCTGCAGAACGCGGCGCTGCGGCATACATGAAGTATCATAAACAGGACAAGCTGCGCCGAGCAAACGTCTTCAATTCAACATTGTAAGGTGTTGTAGCGATGGTGATAGTGGTTGGCAGTTGTAGCATCGCAGTAAAAGGTGGTAGTAACAGTGATGTTGGTGACAGCGCAAAGAAGGCGTGAATTCGCCGCTGCCGCTACTACTGCCGCCGCTGCCGGCGCAAAGGTGTGCCAGGTGGGTGGTGAAGGTGGAGGTGGTGGACACGACAAATGACCACAACGACACTGGGTGGACATCCAGCAGCTAGCTCGGCACTGAGACGACAGAGACAGTAGCGGGAAAACTGATGATGCACATAATATTGAAAAATCACGACCATAATGGCTCAGCGCCCCCGCGCTATGGGGAGACTGGGGGTCAGGGGTCAGGGGGTCAGGTGTCAGCGCAGAGGCTCAAGGCCACGCCACAGAGTACCAGCAGAAGCAGTTGTGCAGTTGCCCCATAGATGATTGTACTACGTCCACGGGTTGGCCCCTAAAGCAAGCGGTGCAGCAGGGGTTACTGGGGGTTCAGGGGAGGACGAGGGACAGGGGCGACTACCGGAGACACATTATATATCCACAACGACAGGAGGGAAAAAATAAACCCTACGCGGAGTGGGTTGTAGGGGTTGTTACATTGCAGTATCACATAATTCATTTACCGAAATCTGTGGCAGGTATTGTTAGCCACAAGGACACAAGCTAGAGTCCGTGTCTTCTCAGCGCTTCGCCCAGACAGCTCAAAGCATTGCCATTGTGAATTGGTTACAAGAGATACAGCACAGTGAACGTGATCATAGTAGGTGAATCAACGAGACATTTGAAGCTTGCTCAGTCCGCATTATCAAGGGACGCATAGGGCCATATCATGAATGCGTATTTAGTTCCACGAGCAGACGGCTATGTCGTATGATATTCATGAAACAAGGGGTCCCAAATTATGTACAACTTTTCAGATAAAAAAATCAGTTAATGTTACTGCTATTCTGCATTTATATAATCTTAATAATTTATGTTCTTATGCAATTTCCAGCTTCAAAATTCCGTGCTAAAGCTATCTAATCACCTACAAAAAGTACCACCTGGGTGAGGATAACACAGGATAAAGCAAGTCACATCATAATATATCGAAAGGTGTGAAAATCTAATTATGCAGTGATCATAATGTTGTCATAAACAAAGCATCAGTCATGATGGTGATGAACAGACTGCAAATATACAAAAGCGTGGCCAGTGATGTTATATCAGTCATCATAGGATTAAAGACAACACGTTGACGTAATAAACATACCGTGGAAAATAAAGGCCAAAAAATAGATTTTAAAAAATTCCGAGGGACAATAAATAATTCACACAGAAACAACAAACCGAACAAAAAACAGACAAACAAAGAACCAAGGAAAAATGAGGACATAGACGAGTAGATTACTCAAGGTAAATGTTGGTCATGCTATAAGGCAAACATAAAATGACAACAGATTTGTACCTTTGCTTGTACGCAAAGCTAAAAAAAAGGACAACCTGAAGTAAAACAAATATACGAAATCAAGAGACTGAACCAAAAGAAAACACGAGTTAAAAATAAAACAACACATTTTTTTAAAAAGCTGCTGGTAGTTTATAAGAATACTTTTGTTAGACAGACTGAAAGTCGCATGACAATTTCAAGACGCTAAAGTCATTAAAAAAAAAGACTCAGGAGAGGTTTTATTTTACGAGAATCTTGGAACGATCAAAACAGGAGGAAAAAAAAATACGGGGGATACTGGAGCTGTAATCTTCCGTAAAGAAGAATGTTGAAAAAAGCGAAGAATAAAAGAAAGAAGAATAAGGAAAAATCTCAAAGAAGATAAAGCACAATGTCAAGACGGACAAGAAGGAGAAAAAAACGAGAGAGAGAGAGAAAGAGAGAGAGAGAGAGAGAGAGAGAGAGAGAGAGAGAGAAAGAGAGAGAGGGAGACAGAGAGAGAGACAGAGAGAGAGAGAAAGAGAAAAAGAGAGAGAGAGAGACAGACAGAGAGACAGATAGATAGACCGACAGGCAGACAGACAGGCAGAGAGAGAGAGAGA